TATACAACAAGCCAAACCAGTCACTTGTCGCAAAAATCCATTTTTAGTTATTAATACAGGGTTAAAGAGTAAAATAAGAGCTATAAAATGGTAAAAGAATCATTCAAATCCAACATTTTTTTTATGAAGTTAGAGACGTTTAAACATACAGCTGCTTAAAGAACAATATTTGAGAAATCAGGCTTTAAATGTTATGAATTTATTCAATTTCTTAGGCAGAAACCATTACCAAATCTTTAAAATTGTTCTTTTAAACATTGAAAATGGGAAGAATAACAGCATTGCATGATATATATATATATATAAAGGTTAGTTTAGTTTTAAAATTTTGACATTCCAGCATGTTTTGAAACAGGATTTGTGATGAGTGACTGGTTTGGCTTGTCTTCGCAACATATATAAAAAAATTATGAACTGACAATGAAAAAGTAATTATCACTTCCAAGTGCAAGATGCAGTTAACACCAGTATTGACATTCCTTAACATCATTGTGGTAACCATAGCACTGAAGACTTAATTTCAGATTTTGTATCCTCTTCAAATCCAAAAGTGTTGAGGCATTTTAAATTTTTAAAATCTTGACATTTTCTTTACAATTATTATCACAAAGAAATATGATTTTTTTCATTGAATTGAAGATTTAATTTTAGTTTTGTAATTTCTTCAATATCATTAAAACACAGGGTCTTTGAATAAAAAAATATGCTTGACAGTTTCTTAAAAATCACTAGCACAAAGCTTACATGATCTGTCATAAGTCTTTATCTGTATACATTATGAAAATATTTTAGTCTCCTACTAGTTTATTTTTTGACAGTATGTCTGAGACATGATACTCCAAGAACAAGCTTTATCTCCTTCTCTTGCCACTTCAGGCTCCCAAAATATTTCAAATGAAAAACTTTCAAAGATATACTGAGTGTTTAGAGGTGCCAGCAATGCTGAGGGCTTAACCCCACTGTTGGACAGACAAGGCCCTAGACAGACTCAGCCACAATTCTTTGAACTACAAAATGCTCACAGAAAAAAAAATTATGTAAAACCAGTAGCCACTTTAAGACATGAGACACTTGTACTACCTATTTTACTGAAATTTATTATGGCATTTACATAAAATCGTGCTGTGCTCTAAAAAGACAGGAAAAAGGCCATATGATCATGCCAGATAGGGCGCAATATTTGTACTGGCTCCCAATGAACAGTTTTACGATCTCTGCTGTTGCACCCAGTCTAGCTAAAAACCTTGCTAAAATTGCACGGAAAATTTGACACAGGACGGGACAGGTATTTGATATTCACATTTCTATAACTTGTTATTATGAATGAAATAATTAAATTTGCATGATATACTAATTGATTCCACGAATGAAATAGTTTGCATATTATACAGATTTCTATAACTTATTATGTTAATAGTGAATGAAATTAATGCATCTGATTAATAAAATTTGGTCATAATTAATGAATTTGAATGTTGTTATTCAATATTGATGTGTGACACGTGATACGTATCAGAGATCACTTTAATTGTAGAGAGAATTAATATATTAAGATTTAGTAATTTAGTAATAGATAAATAAATATTTATTTTATATATCTTCTTCACTTGACATTTTACTGAGCAGTCTCTACTAGGCAAACGCACCAATCATTTGCCCGTGTTCGTATAGGTGACAACCAACCAGTGGTGGATTGAGGGGGTGGGGTGACCCCTGCTGGTGCGGTCTCCCTAAATTTTTCCAAATTATAAAAAAAAATGGAGAAAAAAAAGAAAATGATATTTAAATTTAAGTCTGAGAGTGCCATTTCCAGTCAACTAAAGTGCCATAATCATAATTTTTCTTATTACAGCCCCAACCATTGTGGGGCTGAGGTTGGTGGAAGGACTGTAACCAGGTTCTTGTGAAGGGGGTTTCCTATAGACCAAGTTTAACTCAGAAGTGTTTCTTTAATAGAAAAAGGTTATATTAAAATACCACTACAGAATTAAACTGTTCAAAAAGGGAGGTTCGCTCGAACCTCCACAACCCCCTGGTTATGGGCCTGGGTGGACCCTCTATCTGTGAAAGTCCTCGGACCTAGGCCCCTTCAATTTTGAATTCCTGGATCCGCCACTCCTAGAGAATTTTAGGGTCTATGCAAAAATAATTACCCTTACTTTGCACATCTGAAACTTGGAAAAGGAAATATTTTCTAATTTCAACTGAAATATAATGATGTACCTTACTTAAATTACTAATACTGTAGGAATTTAAAATATTAAATTTGTTCTTTACATTTATTATCTTAACACGGAGAGTATATTTTGCAACTATTTTTATCTCAGTTTATGATTGATATGTCTGGAGATGTGCAACTACAGTTATCATACCCTATCCTTGGATTGCCTCCACATGATGGATCACTACATACACAGAACATACAAGCAAATGTTATAATAAGTATCAAACATCTGTAAGGACATGCCTTCTGTCTGGCAATGTTCCTTCTGTATACATGACATCCATCAATGGCAGATTTACCGCAAACGGCCATGTTGTTAAATATACAGAAACAGGAGCGTTATCGCTTCGATATTTTAGACACTAATACGAAAAGCTTAACTTAAGTCTGTGGAAAGAAGGGATAAACCCCCGGCTTTAGAACACTTGAATAATTGGTCCAACTTGCAATAAATTTTAACAATCAGTTGAAAAAACGAATTCGATAGACCTTGCATTATCATGTTCATCCGTTAATTTTAAATCTTTGATGTTGCATACTGAAGAGGCTCTTTAAGTGTAATAACAATTTATTGTTATTTTATTCACTTTAAATAAACTATTATTAAAGTTTAAATATATAATTGATATTATGATTGCAGTGAAATTGTAGTACTTACAAAAAGAATATAAATAACAATGTGACAGTTTCATACATTCTGACAATGCAGAAAATAGATAAATGGCCTGCCCGGGCCTAATGAGACAAATGATATTTGTAATTTGAGATCAACATTAGAATTAGACATTTGTAAAACTATTTTTTTTTACTTTGAAGCTGTTGTTGACAGGCAGCATAAAAATTAAAGATTATTTTGCTAGGATTGTTCCATGTTACATCAAGTGTTTGGAAAATGTAATACAAAGTTAGTTTGAAAGTCTGATTTGAAATTTGCCTTCAGTTTTTAGGTCCTTTTCTGATTCTAATAGGCACTCTTCCTCTATACTTTGCAGAGGGAGGGAATAGTCCACAACTTCCTATATAGCTACTGCTATCAAAATACAGAATGCTGAGTCCTAAGAAGTTGCCCACCCCTCTTAAACAATGGTATAGTCCATTGTGGGTGGTTTTTGTCTAGGTGGTTATTGTCCAGGGTGCTTTTGTCCGATTTACTCCTGGGAGATTTGTTTAAATGAGCTTCCTAAACACGGCTTATTTTATTTTGCTGCAAATGGTGTTTCCCATCGGCACTGACTTTCAGGACAAAATTGATAATACAGAATAGTATGAAATATCTTAAATTTGCGGAAGATGAGTTAGTCTTCCAGGAAATTCTTGTTTGGTTGAGGAAGTGCGGGAGACCTTTCTGATATATGGGAGACTCCCCAGACTTTTGGGTGACTTGGGATCCCAGAGTATGACAGTTGTGTGAAAATACAGTAGAAACTCCTATTAAAGGGACACCTTCAAGACGACAAAAGCGTCCCCTGAATAGGATTGTAAAAAGATATACTTTCCCTCATTTTGGGGCCAAAAAGGTGTCCCCTTAATAGGGGTCTCCTAAAGGAGGATTTCTACTACAATATTTTTTCTTAAATAAAAATGCCTAAAATAAATTTTTTTAATGTAGCAGAACAGACATCTAAGAGAAAAATTTTAGCTGTAAATCGTGTAATAAGAGATAACATGACCGATATTGGAAAGGTAAGAACGATTAATAACAAAATGATGAAATATAAGAATGAGAAAAATTAGTGGACCAAAATACATTTTCACTTAATCTGTCATTTGCAGATCGTTTAGTAGTTATGAAATTATAGGCTTAATTTTTTGTTCAGGATGGAAAGATGTATCAGTTGAAATGAAACAGATCAGGTAGCAAAACATCAGCCAGTTAGCGAACAGTAATCTTTGATTAAAGATTATTAAGCCCGCAACTGAATTAGAGACACTCCATAGCTCGCACAATTTCATTACTATATAAAATGGCTGGAATTTCCTTGGAGCAATTTCTCCACATTTCAAGCATTAAAGATGAAATTCAATTGGCATCGGAGCCAGGTTCCATATAAATAAAATATATAACGGATGGTAAACGATGTTTCTGTATTGATATCATTGCAGGTGACAGTAAATGGGATCTAATCACAGGTGATCAACCTCAAGCCCAATGATGGTTTGGTTGTTTGTGAGTATGGTTGAAAGGTCAACTATTTCTGAATAGAGGCAATGGCGTAACAAAGAGGCCTAAGGCTAGCGCTTGGGTTTATCTTAACTAAGAGGCCAGAGGCTAGTGATTTTTCATCCCTCTACCACCCTGGGGGTGGGGGGCCACATAGGGTCCAGTGGGTTATCGGTAAAATCTCCCACTCAACCATTTTTGACATTTTAAGAGCATATCTGATCTATTTTTAACATGTTCTGCTCATTAAGGGGCCCACTGCCGATTTGGGGCCATGGTCTTGGCAAAAAACAAAATGTTGATATCCCAGTCCTGTTTAGGTTCTGGGCCCCTGCCTTTAGCCAAAGACAGTTCATACTGTAGTTTTATACTACCGAATACAGTTACACAATATGAACCACTATTTCAACAACCATCTTAAAATAAAAATATACACATAACTTACCAGTCTTTTAAGTCAATGTATTGTTGAAACATTAATGTTCATTCTGAAATGAAGATAAGTAATCAGAAAGATATACCATTATTAATATATCCAGAGCAAAAGTTATTAAACTACATTTTTTATTTTACTTACACCAGTCAAAAAAAAAATACAAACCAGAAATGATATACAGTACAACTCGTTTCACATACATATATGAAAAATATATAGAATGTACGTAATTAAAATACAAGGAACAAAGACATTTTTAATAACAATGTTTATCATTTAAAAATACAAAAAATATATAATATAAATAGCAATAATGGAAATAATAAAATACTCACAATATAATATTTATAAAACCATAATAACAACATAGTTTTTTCCCCAAGTTACTTTTTTTCAAAGGTGTTAATATTCTAGGATTTTTATTGCAAGGTAATCATTTTATACTATTAATATATTGTAAAATGGCTCAAATTTCAAATAAATGTAAATATAAAGTAACATATGTTTTAAATATTTTAGTCCTAGACAAGTATTGAGGTAATCCTGATTTAAAGCTGTTGTTTATGGAAACACAAGACATCTCAATGTTTGACTAGATGATCTGATCTGAGAATCGCATACAAGATCATCAGAATCAATATTTTCTTCAGGCCTGACATTTTTAATACCTACAAATTAAATGTATGAATTTCATCAGACTTGAGAGGGTGCAACAAGATGTTTTGAGTCAATATACTTATTATATAGTAAATATATGTATATATTACCGGTATATATAAAATGTATATATTATATATGAACAAATAAATACATAATAACAATACTTGAATAGGAACATAAAATAAAATCATATCAAGCATAGCCTTCAACAAAAAGTTGTATATATGTTAGTTGTATGAAAAAAGTATCTCTAGTGGGGATTCGAACCTACATCTTCTCGCTATCAAGGCAAGTATCATACCATTAGACCATAGGGATCGCATGGTATAGACGCAAATGTAACCCACTAGGCACCTTCTTTCATATACGCTCACACATAGTGGAGCTTCGGTTAAAGCTAAAGAAACTTATATAGGTCACAACTTGGAAATCATTGTAGGCCTATTACAATATTCAAAATTAGGTTTGCAGAATAGTACATAAAATATATGTATGGTACAAATATCTACTCACTGTGATTTATGTATATATGCGCAAGCAAACATCATAGTTCACATGCCTTTGGTCAGGACACAAGTTGTTTTGAAAAGTGGTCAGGAACGAACAGCAGTTGGTATTATTCTCAAAATAGGCCTAAAACAATGTCCGACTGGAAGCTATTTTAATTATTGGAGGGATTGAGCTGATAACTGACTAATATAAATGAACAGCTGAAATTCTCATTAACCTATAAAACTATGTATGACTAAACAAACTCCCACAGAAAGTACATTGCAATTTGGAATTTCACTGGATTAAACCTCTGAATTATTTACAATCTATTTTTCAAATCAATTCTCTACTTATATACATAAGAGACATATTCCAAATAAGTGAATAAATAATTCCAAATAACAATGAATAAAATAAAATAAAATTTGAAAACATTATTTAAAATGTTTTTGGAATAAAAAAAGTAAACTTTTCTTCAAAGTTTGTGTGTTAGTTCATTAGTTCATCCGATATTATACATTGGAAGAACCAGGTGGTTATGGGTTTGGCTACGTGTGCCTTTAGAATATGTAGTATTGTTATAGGTAAATTTTGAAGAGAAATATTGAGGAGCATTATCCTTTTAAGCATTTGAAAGTCATAAGAAGTAATTTTTCATTCTAAATCATATTAAGTCTACTCCAACAGGAGTCTTAATATCAACAGAAAGTAAAATTGTACCTAATCTATTCATAGGAACATGTAAACAGTTAGAATTTTGAACATTAAAATTAGACCAGACAACAAAAATAATCAAAAAGACGAAAAATTTAAGCATTTGCTAACATTTTAAGTGTATTAGAAGGAAGAAGTATTTTATTATTACTGAATGTGGGTTTCCCTTTTTTGCTATTCCTTGTCTTGTGTTTTGTTTTTTGGTGTTTATTTTCTAATTGCTAATCACATTATGCACTTTTTTGTTTATATGTAAATGTTAAATATCAATGTTACTTTCCTTTAGTACATAATAATGCAACTTTATTTAGTGTCAGAAAATTATAAAAAAAAAACTATTTAATAAAAATAAAAGATTAATTAATAAAATAAATATAAGTCAATGAAGTGATCAAGAAAAAAACAAATCACAGTTGGTCAATATGACATCCATTAATCACTACACTCCTCTATCAACATAGGACTTTAAATTGCTGTCGTTAATATTAAAGCCCAGTGAGAAACGGAAACGAAGAAAGGCTCAGAGAAATAGCAGCTGTCCTGCCTCAGTTAAAAACAAGTTAACTCCAACAGGGAAAAGTTCAATATTAGCCACAAGTATCTGGAGGGTATTCTTAGCCCTGTCTTTCGTTTATTTACAAACTGGAATTATCTGACACTGGAATGAAAATAAATTTGTAGTAGAAATATATTAAAGTGATCATGTGACACAACATGACACAGAGTAAATATGCATGATGAAAATGATGATGATGATGATGATGACAGTGATGATGACAGTGATGATGACAATGATGATAATCATTTGACAATGATGATAATCATTATGGCAATGATGAAAGTGATAGTGAATAAGATGATGGAGCTGATGATAATGATCATCATGATAGGAGTGATGAGGATAATGACTCTCAATAATGGGGATACTGATTATTATGATGAAGGTGATGACAAATGGCACCAGTGGATTTAAATATGCTTTTTAAATATCTAAATTGTCATAGCCTCTGTACTAAGCAACCCCTGACTAAGCCTACTACTAGTTGGGAAGATTTTCCCCACCTCCACGTTCTAAGGGAAAACTATGGCGATAATAGTATCAAACTTTAAGAACAATAAGAAAATTTATGCCACATTCCAGTGAGTACAAAAAAACCACAACTATTGCAAAATATATATTATGTACACATTAAAACCATTAATCAACCCCCCGCACAAAAAGTAATCTTGATAAAAAATGTTTCCGAAATCATTTAATCTTCCATGATAGAATGTTACAGGATTAATTATATTAAAATTTGCAGATGTTAGATAGAAATATGCCACAGAACAATTAATATCACATAATCTAAATGAAAGAGATTTTCGTTTCCGGGCTTGAATATTTGATACAGTTAGTAAAATGTAATGTGTAACTCACTTAAGGGTATGCAACAAGGTTTTGAATGACATAATTCCATACATTATTTATTAAAGCTAGACTTGTTTTTACCATGTTGCTTACTTAAGCCAGGCCATGGAAAAAGCAATGTGACAAGTGGCAGATCGTTTCTATGACTCTTCAGTCTGCCATCAATAATCAGCAAACGGTGTTACGCCGTCCAGCAGTGATAGACTCCTCGGCCGAGGTTGTACGACGTAGTAAGCCCTGCTTAATTATAGTTGTCTTAAAGAAACATAACAAATATAGGCCTACCGGCATGAACTTCCCTACCAAAATAATTTTTAAGATAAATTATTGTTTATTTAATATTATATTTCAAGAAATTGTAATCAATATGTAAAAGACAATCAAAGGTATATCAGAAAATTATCTCCTCCCCACTCCACTCTGGTTTATGACTAAATTAACAAAATATGATATTGCACTGAATTGCATCAAACCAACAAAAATATAAGCTGAATCAAAAAATATCTACAAAAAAAAAGAAGTAATTAACAATCATAAATTTTGTGTTCCATTTACCACATTCAAACCCACACTCAAATTGTGTATTTTTTCATCTGGAATTATAATCAAAACTCCCACCCAATATTTTGTTACGTCCATTATTTCCCCCTACACCTAATTTTTTTTTTTTTTTTTTTTTGCTAAAGAATTGTAGAAATTTCTTTGATGTTTTGTAGTGTGAACTATATTTCTGGATGTATTTCGATAGCATACTTGACAAGCGTATTTGAAGAAATCACTTAGGATAACTTATGGTCCAAATATTATGCGATAACACAATAATAAGCTCTGAGCATTAATGTTGAAATTTCATTGTTTGTGAGTTAAAACAGGAAATGAGTTTTTCGCATCTCTTCTTTCTCCGGTGAACTGAACTGTGACTTGTGTTAGTTTGAGCAGTCAAGCAAGACATACGATGAAATTTTGACAGCAATATTTTGAATACAGTATCGCAAAATGGTGATTGCGTTTTATATATATGCCATGCAGAAAAAAAATGATTTATCTAAATTAATTTCTTTTGGATTATGCTCTATGCAAGTGACCTTTCCAATAGTGCTTTAACTAGGGCATTAAAATTGTAAACATATCAAATTGTGGAAAAAAATAACAAGCCATAAAAATCAACTGATTAAAAATCGACAAACATTATTTTTAAATATCAGAATTTATTATTATATATTTATTACTTGAATTTTTCCTTTCTTACCTTAAGCTGATTAAAAGGCTTAGCCTTCTGCAACGAACCTATTTTTCAGTACTTACTCAAAATTTATATTTTGTTCAGCATATTATGGAATTTGCAGCAAATGCGTAGAAAATAAAATTGAACCTGAATTGAATTGATAAAAACAAAATTATCACCAACAAATTCATGGTTCATGGGGAGTGAAGTTTTTTTGGTGGTTAGAAACTGCAAGGTTTGGAAAGGTTACAATCTTCGAATTTGACTAATTGTAAATTTTTACTTCACTATAATTTACATTATAATTAAATAGCTTAGTGGTAGATAACCATTTATATGATGAAAATAGATCTGTTTATACATGCATAAAGATACAGATAAAGGCAGCGTCACTGTGCTGAATTATATGGGCTTGGACAGTGACTACTTCAGCAGCAGTAGAGAGGCACTTAGTTCACATCATTCGACGACGATAAGGGCAGAAGTGACCCAGCACTGGGGTAACCCCCCCCCTCAACTCTTCTGAAAGATGCAATTGGTTCTTCAAAGCGCACACAATCCATATGTGTACACTGGACCTCCTGTTTTAAGTCCTAATCCGAGAAGACTTGGTTCTACTAACCGTACCCTGGGCGAGGAGCAGCTAGGACCAGCACCGATTGTCCCTGCCTTACCTTTCAGTCACTCGACTCGCCTTGCATGCATTATGTATATTTTCTATTTCTATTGCAACTATGTCATTTTTGCATAATTACAATTTACAAAAAAACCCATGCTGGATGTCGAAAAGAAAGAATCCCCACTGACAAGAAGAATTTTGAAACAAAAAAAAATTAAGATGTAAAAATCAGATGAAAAAATACACAATTTGAGTGGGCAAGTGAGTAATGGAACACAAAATTTATGATTGTTAATTCCTTTTTTTTTTTTGGATTGTAGATGGTTTTTGATTCAGTTTATATTTGTGTTGGTTTGACGCAATTTAGTGCAATATTAAATTTTGTTAATTTAGTAATAAACCAGAGTAGAGTGGGGAGGAGATAAGAAACTCTAAAAATAAGATAAGGATTTAGTTATAGAATTGAATTGTGTTGAAATATAAGATATTGTAATCTTTTCTAACTTACTGAGTGTAAGACATTAAATTTGGCCACACCACTGAAATACCACTTCAGATATATAACAAACCTCATAGACACCCCCCTCCTCAGCCAGGAAACTCTGATCTTTGGCACACAAGTCACTATATAAATTATATCGTGTTTAGAATAGGTATGGAGATTTAGTTAAATGTTGTATTAAGAATCTTAAATATAATCACTATAAGAATGATTAATCTCACTAAAGGGAACAATATTATAGCACCACTGTTGTACATAAGATAATTGTCCACTAAATCATATTTAACATAATTCTGATCAATGCTATAATGTTTTACTTGTGTCTAGTATTAAGTATTAAACTTGAACAATAAAGAATAATAATAAATCAGTAAGAATAATAAGCAATGAATATAGGAATATTATCATTAATATGCACGTTTTTATGGTGGATTTTCTCGTTCTTATTTTCAAATGAAAGTAAATATTTAGTTATAAAAATAGTGCAAGCATATATCAAGGAATAATAATGATATATTGCAACTCTTTCAATTAAAAATAGACATTTCCTGAGTGTCAATCAAACAAGTAACCAATCAGAACAGGCCTAGAAATATGCGCGTGTCCTACAAACATACTGGTTAACCCACAAATGCACATTTTGTGTGTAATTGTTATGTTATGTTGTATTGGAATGGGCA